CCGCCGCGGCGTGCGGGGGAGCCGCCCGAGGAGCGGTTAGACGGCCCGCCCGGACGCGGTGTGGCGTCGCGCGTGTGCGGTCGCGAGCCCCGGCGCCGGGTCGCGGGTCCGGCAGGGTCAACGGGGCCGTCCCCTACCGTCCGGCAGGTGATACTCGGGCGGGCGCCCGGGGATCTGTGGAAACGCCCTCCCTGTGGTCATTTATCTAAAAGCCTTACTTGTAAACACTTTTGTTCAACTTCTAGTCGGTACCCGCGCTGCTTTAGGAGACAGCTGCTCCCCTGCCCTCCATCTTGCATTTCTGAGCGCGCACCTAGGGGCTCGGTAAGGTGTGGGTGGATTGCTCGCCATAGGCACTGTCTGGAGGCACGTGTGGGAGCTGGCGTTTCGATAAGTGGCTGGACGGGGACTCTCCCGGAGCCAGATCACACGAACACAGTGAGACCTGAACTTCATATAGAAAGTAAAGAAGCAAGAAGGTTGCTTTCGGTCGTTACCAAAAGTAAAGAAGCGTAAGAGACGAGGCGTAATAAGGAAAAAGAGAAGTTGGGTCATTTTTTTAACTCTTAAATTTGATCTCATTAAACAAAGTATTGATGAAAATGGCCATTACAACATCAAATATCTTAAAGATTAGGCACGAACTTTAATTTAAAAATCTGAATTATATGGGAGGATGAAACTTTTCCATTAAATATACTAATTAAACAAATGATATTCGAGATAAGCGGATCTTTAGAATCACATTAAGGGATAGGAATTCGAATAATTATTGGCCTATACTACAGCCTATGTTAATGGGACAATCCGTTAATACCTATCTCTTCTGTCCTTTTCCATCTGTCCTTAGTGTCACATTTCATAAACTCCAGTATCATCACTAAGTGCATTAATAACTGAAGTACTATGTATAACTTCTATTATTGTAGTGCTACCCAGGAAACAGAAATTACAGTGTATGGCCCATAAAATGTGCCTTAGCAGTAGGTATGATCACCCTGTGAAGTGTAATTTTTCATCTGAAAGACAGTTTAAGAAATGGTGACTGAAGCAAATAATTGGTAGCTAGCAGACCTTCCTGATTCCCTGCCGTTAACTGTACCATGACTCAGTAGCCAAAGGGCTTGGTTTCCTCTTACCTAAGCTGCTCAACTGGAAAAGTGAAGAAAACAGCAACAAGACCTCCTTCAGGGGTGGAGGGATAAATTTGAGCAGAAGTTGCCACAATAAATTTGCAAATAGTTGTAAAGACACATGTAAGATACTAAATGTAAGCTTATGTCGACTTCATCAATCAGATGACGTGGACATCATCAGTAGCTGTGGTCTTTCTGAGATTACTTATGGTACGAAGAAAAAGGATGAAACACCAAAAAGAATGAAATGTGTAGCCTAGAAAACGCAGACCACTTGGCATACCTGCTTTCTTCACTGCCCGTCATGCAAATTTGTTTCCTACTCTTCTTTGACTGTGTTATTTTCATCATTTCATTTTTACCTCATGCTTTATTAATGTACTTCAAGCCTACATACACAATAATTGAAAATAACACCTAAGATAT